CCGGGACCCGGGGCAGAGCGGGCGGGGGCCAGAACCCCGGTCCCCGCCGCTGCGCTGGGCCACAGCTTCCGGAAGGTGACGCTCACCAAGCCCACCTTCTGCCACCTCTGCTCCGACTTCATCTGGGGGCTGGCCGGCTTCCTGTGCGACGGTGAGGCCCGCGACCCCCCGCCCCGCGTGCACTACCAGGTCCTGGGACTCCAGGACCCCCGGACTCTGCTAAGGAGGACCTACCTCCTGTCACTCTCTACTGTGCCCGCCGGCCCCCTCCGTATGGGACCTTCAGGGCCCCAGCCCGCCCCAGGACCCCACACCAACCCCACCAGAGCTCCGATGACCTTGTTCAGAGGCTGGGGCCCCAGGAAGCTGATTCCAGGACGCGGTATCCTGGCCCCAGGCCCCCATCCCGAACACCACCCTTCGGCCCAGATTCGCCCGTCCCAGACTGGACACCTCACCTTTGACCCTGCTCCTCCCAACAACGGCCTCCCCAGGACAGAGTCCCCTGGCAGCACGAGCAAAACCTGGTTGGGCCCCAAATGTCCCGACAGAGGTGTTCGCGTGACTGCGGCTCTCCAGGGTGGCGGGTGTAGGAGGGGGTCCCGTGGCGGCACCACTGGCCCTGGACGTCTCTGTTCACTGAGCAGCCCCCCCCCCCCCCGCCGTGTGCCCAGGGGCAGGGAGAGTGTGGCGGGGCTTGCCCTGTTCTGGGGGCTTGTGGGACCTGCGCATGCACTGGGGACCTATGGGTCTTGGCTCTGAGGTCTCTGGCAGAGCTTCCTCCTCCTGGAAGTGGGGCAGTGCTATCCACAGCGCAGCGCTGTGGTTGGGATCATATGGGGGAGAAGCCCCCAGGGCTGTGCAGGGGCAGGTGAGCGTTTTGCAGTGACTGGAGGAAGGGCGAGGCCAGCCGATCTTGAGGAGTCCCGGTGTCCTGCTTCACTCCCAGCAGCTGGGGCTGCGAGAGGCAGGGCTGGTGCATCTGGGCCACCCGCTGCTGTGCTGGGGTCCGTGATGGCACGCTGCTGCCCAGAGGAGCCGAGTGCTGGCACTGCCCAGGCTCAGCCTCCCAGAGAACCGGCCGGCTGGGCCAGGGCCTGTCATCTCTGGGTGCGGCGTGCCCTGACATGGCTCCTACCCAGCTGCCAAGCAGGCTGGCCTTGGCAAGGAGGGCCTTTTCCTCCTTTGGCTTTCCTATGCGGGACGGGCCATGTGCGTGCTTCCCGCGGACCGGGTCTCTCCTAGTCCGTGCTCCCTCCTGAGGCTGCTGAGCCCAGCAGACTACAGTCCGTGTTTGTGTGTGGGGGGGTGGGGGGGCGCCCTGCTGCCTGGCGGGGGGAGGAGGCGCTCGTGGGCAGGATCTGAGTGTTTGTGCTGGAGGGAGGGGACGCTAGTGTGAAGTGCAGTGACCATTTGGCACTTCCTGTGTCCTGGCTGGGACGTGAGGTGGGATGAGATCGGGAGCCTCTTCCTCCCTCAGGAAGACAGGCCTTTGCTCTGGGGATGGACAGATGGCTCGGGGGAATGGCCTGCAGGGGGAATGGCCTGCAGAGGCCGCTCTGAGGGCCTGGGTGGAGGGAGCGGGTTGCCGGCTTCCTGTGGAAGTAGGGGGTCTTCCTGACTGCAGGGAGAACTGGACCCTGGGCCAGTCTGACCCTGTCACATCAGGAACATTGCACTGCCCCTCCCCGCCCATGTGTTACGAGTGGGTTGTCTGAGGAGGAGGATGGGGCAGGTAGACCAGAGACAGCTCCAGGTATGAGCTACACACAGGCTCCCTGGACAGGAGAGAGGTACAGAAAACTAGACTGAAGCTAGACCTCAGGCCTCCTGCACAGGTGAGAGGTGGTGAAGGCAGAGCTCCAGGTCTGAGGATAGACCTCAGGCCCCCCTGCACAGGTGAGAGGTGGTGAAGGCAGAGCT